AATCTTATTTGATTATGGCGAATGATCTTTTTAATGTGTTATTGAATCCAGCTTGCTAGTGATTTTGTTGAGGATTTTTACATCAGATTTGTTCATGAGAGATACTGGGCTGTAGTTTTCTTTTTTTGTTGTGTCTTGTCTGGTTTTGGTATCAGGGTAATGCTGGCCTCAAGGAATCTCTTCTCTTCAGTTTTTTTGAAGAGTTTGAGTAACATTGGTTCTCTTTAAATGTTCCCTAGAATTCAGCTGTGAATTCATCAGATTTCATGGCTGTTACTTGGAATCTGTCAGTTGATGTCTTTCATTATTCTGGAATGTGCTCAGACATTGTCTCTTTGATTGTTACTTTTGTCCCATTCTCTCTAGTCTGCTTCGGAGACTTTAATTATGCATATGCTAGATCTTCTTTTCAGTATGTTCTTTTGTCTTCTTTCCATTCTCTTGTCTCTGGGCTATAGTTTGGATATTTTCTATTGATATGTCTTATGGCCCACAAATTTCATATTTGGTTATATCCAATCTAATGTTAAACCTACCCAAATAGTTGTTTACTTCAAATTATTTTTCTTTTTTCTTTTGTATTAAATCATAGCTGTGTACATTAATGCAATCATGGGGTACAATGTGCTGGTTTTATATACAATTTGAAATGTTTTCATCAAACTGGTTAACATAGCCTTCATGGCATTTTCTTAATAAGTGTTAAGTGTTAAGACACTTATATTCTACACCTAGTATATTTCACATGTACCCTTGTAAGATGCACTGTAGGTGTGGTCCCACCAATTACCCTCCCTTTACCCATCCTCCCCCCCCCCTCTCTCTTTTCCCCTTCTTCTTGGGCTATAATTGGGTTATATCTTTCATATGGAAGTTATAAATTGGTTTCATAGTAGGGCTGAGTACATTAGATACTTTTTCTTCCATTCTTGAGATACTTAGCTAAGAAGAATATGTTCCAGCTCCATCCATGTAAACTTGTAAAGAGGTAAAGTCTCCATCTTTCTTTAAGGTTGCATAATATTCCATGTTGTACATATACCACAGTTTATTGATCCACTTAGAAAGTTCATTTAAATTTCTGCATAGATTACAGCTTTCTGGTAAAATATTTAGTACTTTCATATATTTGGTTTGTTTTTCCTTTACTTTCTTGAAAATATTAATCATGATTATTTTAGTCTTCTTTTTTTTTCTTCTTTAGAGAGAGGGCCTTGCTATATTCTTCCAGCTGGAGTGCAATGGCAATTCACAGATGTGATCATCGCACACTAAAGCTTCAAATTTCTCAGCTCAAGCAATCCTCCTCCCTCAGCTTCCCAAACAGTTGGGACTATAGGCATGCACCTACTGTACCTGGCTTCTTTTCTTTATATAGTTGATTATCAGTCATATGGTCTTGTTTCTTTGCATGTCTCATAATTTTTTATCATATGATAGATATTGTATCTGTCATTTCCAGATTATGCTATATTTTGACAAAGGGATTTTCCCTTTTCCTGTCAGGCAAACATGGTGAGTGGCTGATTATAGGGCATGGCCTACCTAGGCTTTTAATTAAGAACTTGTGGGTCTTTAACTCCTTAGCCCTGGATAGAATGATTCTCCCCCCTCTATAGAATTTTATTTCCTTTATTCACTATTGCTTCCAAAAATCTCTGATGCACTAACAATTTTTATAACTTATATATAGGTTTTATGGTTGTAGCTATGGAAGCATTGGCCTGCCACAAACTACCACATCCTTTCTGAGTCTACATTCTGTGAGTAGTAGGAATGAGTGTTCCTGGCTATTAGAATAGGTCTAAATGTGTTCTTCCTATTACCACTCACTGCAGTTACTATCTATCATAACTCCCAATACTATTCAGAAAGCATGGCTATTCGGGTCATTTTGGTAGGAGCTGCTGCTCTCATGTTCCCCAGAACCTGTCAACTGTATTCTTTAACTGGGCGAAAACACTGAGAACAGAATCAAGTAAACAAGGAAGAGGGTGCATGGTAGATTACCTATCCCTTAAGTGTTAATATTATGTGCTGTCTGTTTTGTAAATTTAACTATAGAACCATGTTTTAATAATATTTTACATTATATAAAAGAAAATTATTTTTTAAAAGGTATTCCTAACAATAGAAAATAAATAAAATAAAACAAAAGAAAGTTTATGTGTATCAAGTTGGTAGCAAGGCCACATACAGAGGACGTATTCCAAGTGATTTCAAAACACATTAATTTAGGCAGTGTCTGTAGCTCATTGGGTAGGATGCTAGCCACATACACAGAGCCTGGCAGGTTCAAACCCAGCCCAGACTAGCTAAAACAATAATGAGAACTGCGACAAAAAAAATAGCCAGGCGTTGTGGCTGGCGCCTGTGTTCCCAGCTACTTGGGAGGCTGAGGCAAGAGAATGGTATAAACCCAAGAGTTTGAGCTTGCTGTGAGCTATGATGCTGCGGCACTCTACTCAGGGCAACAGATTGAGACTCTGTCTCAAAAAAGAAAAACAAACAAACAAAAAAACACATTAATTTGATTATACATGCCTAGTGAGATATAGTCTAAGAAAGAAATACCTTCAAAATAATTATTAAGTTTTAATAATCATATTAAGAATGGTAGAGTTTGATGGTGTTATTCTCACACTGTTTATTATGTGTATAATATGTATAAATGACAGAAAATTAGTGGCATTCTATCATTTTTGGAGCCACTGAGAACCAAATTTCTCAGCATGATATAAAGGATAAAAATAATTGAGTTTAAGGACAAATCCTATAGCCCTAAATGTGATTTAGACATGTAGTATAAATTCATGATGCACTTTCTATATATCTATTTTTTGAGACAGAGCCCCAAGCTATCACCCTGGGTAGAGTACTGTGGCATCACAGATCACAGCAACCTCCAACTCCTGGGCTCAAGCGATTCTCCTGCCTCTGCCTCCCAAGTAGGTGGGACTACAGGTGCCTGCCACAATACCTGGTTATTTTTTGGTTGCAGCTGTTATTGTTGTTTGGTGAGTCCAGGCTGGATTTGAACCCACTAGCTCAGGTGTATTTGGCTGGCACCTTAGTCTCTTTAGCCATAGGTGCCAAGCAGCTTTCTATATTTTAGAACAAAACAATCACATTATTTCCAAACTCTATACATGAAAAAAAATCTAAGAGACTATGATCACCTAAAGGCAATGAGTTCTTCTAGGACACAGAATGTAGTCTCAGAAAAATACTATTATTACTGGGGGGTCATGGTGTGTGACATACCTTTTAGGGGTGGGACACGATTATAAGAGGGACTTTACCTAACAAATGCAATCAATGCAACCTGGTTCTTTGTAGCCTCAATGAATCCCCAACAATAAAAAATAAACAAATAAATAAATAAATAAATACTACTGCTATTAAAAGAAACTAAGGGTCCTTAGAGAAAAGGATTATTATGGCTCTGAAGCTAGAAATACACAAGATGAATCTAGAATAGCATATTAACCTTCATAGCGAGGAAGCTGTCAAAACTATTAGAAACAGCTTCCTTTCACCCAGAGATGCCATCTTCCAATAATTCACTAAAATGACAAACACAAAGGGAAAGACATGTTCTCTAGGCCTTTTAGAAAACATGGAGTTGTTCCTTTGGCCACATACATACAAATCTATAAGAAAGGTGATATTGTAGACATTAAGGGAATGGGTACTGTTCAAAAAGGCATGCCACACAAATGTTACCATGGCAAAACTGGAAGAGTCTACAATGTTATCCAGCATGCTGTTGGCATTGTTGTAAACAATCAAATGTAAGGGCAAGATTCTTGCCAAGAGGATTAATGTTCATATTGAGTATATTAAGCACTCTAAGAGCAGAGACAGCTTCCTGAAATTCATGAAAGAAAATGATCAGAAAAGGAAGGAAGCCAAAGAGAAAGTTACCTGGGTTTACCGAAAGTGCCAGCCAGTTCTACCCAGAGAAGCACATTTTATGAGGACCAATAGAAAGGAGCCTAAGCTGCTGGAACCTATTCCCTATGAATTCATGGCATAATAGGTATAAAAAGAAAAAGGCTACTATAAAACAAAACAAAAAAGCTACTAGAAATAAGTGTTAAAAAGATTCCGGAGCCAATCTAGTATATCTGGATGGTATCAAGTTGGTATATCTACAACATTTATAAGACAATTTAAACACCAACTCACTATTAAATGATATTAAATAATTTTTAATTGCCCTTATTACAGTAATAATATACTGCTGTTATGTTTTCCTTAAAATTTCCTTTTAATTGCCCTTATTATATAAGTAATATACTGCTGTTATGTTTTCCTTAAAAAACCCTTTACCAGGGTGGCGCCTGTGGCTCAAGGAGTAGGGCACCAGCCCCATATGCTGGGGGTGGAGGGTTCAAGCCTGGCGCTGGCCAAAATTGCAAAGAAAAAAAAAAAAGAAACCCTTTACCATTTGCAAATATATAATGAAATATTTACAGAGGAAATAATATGGCATCTGAGATGTGCTTCAAAATACAAAAGAGAAAAATTGAAGAGAATTATAGATGAAACAATATTAGCCATAAGTTGATCATTACTTAAGGTGGATAGTGAGTACATTAGGGCTCATTATATACTTCTGTCTACTTTTGTGTAATTCTCATAATAAAAAAAGTAATTCATTTTCACTCTGGTTTGGCTCAACAAATCTGTAGATTTTGGTACATCACTTGTTCTTCCCCTGACAATGGCCATAACAATGGAGTGAGTATGGAAATGGGAAAATGTGTATCAAAAGGCTGATCAAATAAATAATCTATGCCCCAAATATCCCAATCTGACAAATGTTAATTATAAGAAATAATCTCTACATTATACTATTCATACAATTATTATGAAGCCTAAATATCTAATTCTAGAGTATCTACAACCTGACTGAAGCAATACCATAACACTAATACTCTTCCCTAGTCATATCTTTACCATAATATAAAATAGGAATTAATAGAGCTATTTACCTTTATTGGGTCCTGCTGGAATAGATCTATCTGAATGTTTAGAATGGGCAATCTCTATTTCTGATTTTCCTTGCATAATTATTTGATTTCCAAACCTCTTGGGTCCCAAGTAAAAGACTGTAAATTTCTGCTGAATATCAAGTCCAACTGAAGAAAGAGAAGTATATGAATGTTTAGTTATGTCATATAAGTTCATACAAGAGACCATTTATTTCTTTTTATATGTCTTGTATTTTTATAACTTCTCAAGCTAAGAAGTCTAGGAAATTAAAGTATTTTTAAATTAAAATATAAATAAAACATTATAGGTTATAAATTATAAAATACAATTATAAATCGTTTATTATAAAATACAAATAAAACATTATTGATCTAACATCATCATAAGAATAAAAATCATCCTATAATAAGCAAAATTTAATTACCTTTGAGAAAAGTCTATAAATGAACTGATAAAATGTTAATTACATTATCCTGTTCCTATTTCTATATCTAAATACATGAAACTTCCTTTAAAGTTTATTCATATTATCTAAATATATTATTTTTACATAATGCCATTTTTACTGTTTTTGTATCAGAATAAAGAAAATAATTTTTAAATGCTAACATAGTCTTTACATTCATGTTTTCATTATTTCAATTAACTCACCAAATTCAGAACTTATTAGATTTATGCTAAGATCTTCAGATTTCAGAGCTCTCTTCACATCAATCTTTTTAGTCCAATTTCCAGTTTTCAGCAAAACAGAATCCCTGAAAAGCAGTAATGCATCATTTAAATAGTGATCCATTATTTAATGGATCCATTATTTCCTTTAGTTGAAATAACATATTAATCTTCAAGGGCTGATTATTCCTAAGATAGGTCCACTCTAGTAATAAACTGAAATTAATTTTGAAAACCATTTTCCCCACGTTCTAAGGAGAATGAATAATGTGACAATGGACCTATCTTGACCATAATTTTCTTAACTACAGCTGATTCCAAGTTGTACTGACTCATTTCAAGTTTACATGGAATATATAGTTGCTATCAATAACATACAAGCTTGCCCTTAAATCACTACCACTTTAACCAGTTAGGTTACATGTATTTGTGAGAACAACTTAAAACAGTATCTTTCAAACTGGTATGAAATGGTTTATATGCATAATAATAACATTACCACCAAACCAGCAACACATCTTGATTAAACTTAGTTCAGTCTTATACAGTCTGGGGTATCATTAGATATAGGAGTCATAGAGAAGATGTGTACCACAGCATATTCTCCAGAAGCATGTCATGGTTAGATGCAGGAAGGCATTTACCAGTGAAAGGGATATCCTATTAGTTACTACAGTCCCCTTAGGAACCTTGCATCTGACTTTTGGGAAAAGTATCTTCCAGTATACTGGCAGCAATTAGGAGAGTGCTGTGTCAGTCACTGCCATTCCTGAACTTACATGAATAGAAACATAGTTAGGGGCATAGGCTCTAGAGTCCAAATGTTTGGATACAAATTTAGGCTTTGCTATTAACTAACTACATGATCATGATCAAGGTTTGATTAAGCATAAATCAAACTGATTAAACTCTTTGTCTAAATTTCCTCTACAAAATGTGCATGATGATAGTACCTGTCTCCTACAGATATTGAAACAATTCAATACCTAGAACCTAGTAAGTGTTCAAAAATATTAACCATAACTATAACTGATATCCTTAAAGTTTTCTTCTGATACCCTGGGAGAAAAAACAGTATTTAATATTGTGAAAAATACAGAAGTAAAAATTATAGAATGGCATGCTAGATGACTAGGTACAAGGGAGGGTACTTCCTTTATATATTTAATCTGGTGCCTGGACCCTACAATGGTGCTATAGTAGTTTGTTAGATTTTAGTTTGGAGATACAAGGTGAGTAGAAGAAAGACTGCATCCAAACAGTAGTAAGACCATAAATGACTAGAGAAAAGTGGTGAAATTAAGACCTCTTTAGGTCATTTACCTTTCAGATCATGGTGACAGAATTTTTTTTTTTTTTTTTTTTAGTTTTTGGCCAGGGCTGGGCCTGAACTCACCACCCCTAGCATATGGGGTCAGCGCCCCACTCCTTTGAGCCAAAGGTGCTGCCCATGGTGACAGATTTTATATTTTTATTATTTCAGTATTAAATAAAATAGTTTAAAACAACAGACCCAATGTTAATACCTTCTTTAATAGACAAATAAACTAGCCCCTAATTACTGCAGAAAAATATAATTTAACTGATCACAGTGATTTTGTTACTCTTTTTTTCCAGGGGAAATTTTTAATGGTATACATGCATATGCTTAGAAATAAAATCCAAATATTAGAAATTTCACACTTACATAATTTTGTGCTTAAAATAAACTACTTGATTATCTGCATCGCCTATGATTAAGGTAACGTAGTGAGAATCTGGTGCTGTTCTTTTAGTTTGTAGCTGTTCAAAGTTTCTTAATATAATGGTCACTAATATTTCTGCCATGGTATCACTGTATCTTGAAATCTTTGAAAAAGGATAGGAATAAAAAGTATTAAAAAAAAATAACCTTACTACTCATACTCAACTCAAAGCATAGTTCCAGGTAGTTTTATCCTAAAAAGATAATTAAAATATCTAAAAAACAGAAAGTATCTACCTGTTCCACTTCAAGTTCATATTTTGGTAGATACATCACAGTTTCTTTTATTTGGGTTCCAAAAGGGGGATGTCTGTTTAGAATCTAAAAATATTTACATCATTATATTCTTACACAATACTAGAAATTGACTTAGTAAAACTTTTTTAGAATCAATAGTTTCAATAACATTTATCAGCTAAAATCTTGGTAAGTTAAAATGTTTATGAATACAAAATTAAAGTAATTTTTAATAGAAATAAAGATATAAAATTTAGGCTTTAGAATTTAGATAGAATTCAGGTAGTTTTAGCAATAAGTGAATACTAAATACCAGTTCAAGTTCCCTTGCATCTGTTTCTTCTATTTTTTTAAAGGAAATCAAACCGGCATTTACCATTGCATTTGACAAAGTTATACCTGTGGAAAATTAATCAGATAGCAAATTTAAAATAATCTACTTTAAATAAAATCTGTACTTAAATATTTAACAACTTAATAAAAAAATTTTAAGACCCAAATAATTAACTTTTAAAGTTTTTAAAAAAAGGTTTTTAGTTGGATTGCTTGAGTTGTGACATTATTCAATTATTCATATTAATTTTTTCAAGCTGAAGTAAAATATTCATTTGCTTTATAAAAGAAAGAGGAACTCTCTGATCCACATGGTGACTTAACTCTTAGTTTTACTATACTCATCTGTAGGGAGAGTACCAAGATCCCTGTACTTTTTTTTTTTTTTTTTTGAGACAGAGCCTCAAGCTATCCCCCTGGGTAGAGTGCCGTGGCATTACAGCTCACAGCAACCTCCAACTCCTGGG